TTGCCAAGTGGTGTAATTCTCCCTTTTCAAGAACCCGACCCTCAAACCTGTGTCCTCTAATGCTGCTAATGTTACTTATCTGCATTTCTCACATACTTGTGAATATGTTTCACTTGCCATCATCACTGTATCAGCAGGAATTCAAGCACTTCAAACATTCAAGTGTTATTGGTACCCATCATACAAAAATGCATTTTGTCTTACACGTGCAATGCATTGTGGATTACTGAGACGGCTGCTGGGGAGTGATTGTGTTTAATTTTTCCCAACATTTGAGTTGCTTCGCAGCAAGAAATTCTATTATGTGAGTGGATATTTTGTTTTCCAAATTATGATACACTTTTTCAAATCAGCCTGTGGGGGGAAAAAACAAACAAAAACTTACATTCATGCAGTTATTTTTGCAACTATGAAAAATTTTTGTACCAGTAAATGTGGAGGTCAATACAGATAAAGTTAGACTCTACTGTGTAGGGTAAGACCAAGTGAAAGGTTCACAAGTAGGACATCAAGTTGCCCCTTGAAGATCTGGTTGTCAGTGGATATGTGTGTTGCAGTCAGTTGTACACTGATATTTCACAGCTAAGGAACATAGACCTGTCCTAAATGCTAGAACATATGAATCACATTGATCCTGATGTGTCATGCATGAGTAATTAATTAATCTTAAGGATCTGACTTTGTTCCACATTGCTGCTGTTTGCACTTTATGCTCATGTTATGCACCTGTTCAGAGCTGAGGTTTTCAGCTAATATAATATACAGATTTCATAATAATTGAAATATTGGGACTTAATCCTTCATATTAGGATAATCTACTGTCAAAAAGAATGAAAGGGATGCATGTATATGGCTTCCTACAAAAGATTATAAGACGAATTTTAGATATATGTCGTTTTTTTGCAGTGTTTCAGAATAAAAGTGTTAAAGAGCCCTGAAGTGGTTGTTCAAGTTCTTTCCTTTGTCTTTAGATATTTTCAAAATAAATAACTCGTATTGGTGATATAATAATATCCATACATTTTTTTTTTTAAATTTTGATGATGAATATTATTAGCACTGTTTGTGAAATAACAAGTTGCGGCCTGATCTTAAATGTCTTTTTCTTGGAGTTCCAAAGCAGATTTCACCTGGATTTTTCCATGTGATCTTGGACAAACTAAAATTGTTTCTCTAAAAATCCCTCACAACTTAAAGGTGTTGTTATGCAAAAAAAGGTTTGATACAAGACTTCATTTTTCAGAAACTTTATTTAAGACAGAGCCATATTAGCATTTTAATAATTTATACTCTGAACAAAGTCAAACGGGTAATAAATAGACTGGAATGTATTTAGGAACACACTGAAGTTTCCTGTATAATCCCTCATGACCCTTTTAGTACTCCTCTCCTTCCTCTTCTCCTTCACCCTCAATAGAATCAACTCCCACCTCCTCATAATCCTTCTCCAGAGCTGCCATGTCCTCTCTGGCCTCGGAGAACTCTCCCTCCTCCATACCCTCACCCACGTACCAGTGAACAAAGGCACGCTTAGCGTACATCAGATCGAACTTGTGGTCGAGCCGAGCCCAGGCCTCTGCAATAGCAGTTGTGTTGCTCAGCATGCACACAGCCCTCTGGACCTTGGCCAGATCTCCACCAGGAACCACAGTGGGGGGCTGGTAGTTGATGCCAACCTTGAAACCAGTGGGGCACCAGTCCACAAACTGGATGGAGCGCTTAGTTTTGATGGTGGCAATGGCAGCATTGACATCTTTGGGTACCACATCACCACGGTACAAAAGGCAGCAGGCCATGTACTTGCCGTGGCGAGGGTCACATTTCACCATCTGATTGGCTGGCTCAAAGCAGGCGTTTGTGATCTCAGCTACTGTTAGCTGCTCGTGGTAAGCCTTCTCTGCAGAGATGACTGGAGCATAGGTGGCCAGGGGGAAGTGGATACGGGGGTATGGCACCAAGTTGGTCTGGAACTCTGTCAGATCAACATTGAGGGCACCATCAAAGCGGAGGGAAGCAGTGATGGAGGACACAATCTGACTGATCAGCCTGTTCAGGTTGGTGTAAGTAGGACGCTCGATATCGAGGTTCCTACGACAGATATCGTAGATGGCCTCGTTATCTACCATGAAGGCACAGTCAGAGTGCTCTAGGGTGGTGTGGGTGGTCAGGATGGAGTTGTAGGGCTCCACCACAGCGGTGGACACCTGGGGAGCTGGGTAAATGGAGAACTCTAGCTTGGACTTCTTGCCGTAGTCGACAGACAGACGCTCCATCAGCAGGGAGGTGAAACCAGAGCCGGTGCCACCGCCGAAGCTGTGGAACACCAGGAAGCCCTGAAGACCAGTGCACTGATCAGCCTGAGGAGAGAGAGGGAGAGACAGCAACCAGATAAGAGATATACCCATCAGTTAGGTCATTTATGCAGGATTCTTCTGCTCTGATTTACCCACCAGTTTGCGAATCCTGTCCAGAACCAAGTCAATGATTTCTTTGCCAATGGTGTAGTGTCCACGGGCGTAGTTGTTAGCAGCATCCTCCTTGCCAGTGATCAGCTGCTCAGGGTGGAACAACTGGCGGTAGGTCCCAGTGCGCACCTCATCTACAAAAAACCACCATTAAGAAATTATGTAAGGGTTTTAACAAATTAAAGAGGCAACAGCGATAAGTTTATTTCTAGAAGTTTACCGATGACAGTGGGCTCTAAGTCGACAAAAACAGCTCTGGGGACGTGCTTTCCAGCTCCAGTCTCACTGAAGAAGGTGTTGAAAGAATCGTCTCCACCACCAATGGCTTTGTCACTGGGCATCTGACCGTCTGGCTGGATCCCATGTTCCAGGCAGTAAAGCTCCCAGCAGGCATTGCCAATTTGGACACCAGCTTGACCAACGTGGATGGAAATACACTCACGCTAGTGTAAGGGGAAAAAAGATTTGGATTAAAAACAAAGACGAGTCTTCCACTTGCTGAAGATAACCAGTTTTCAGAACAGTTTTTGCTAATTAAAAAAGGAGGGATAAAACACATTAATCGGGCTCACAAATGAAACAATCACTGTATTTTAAATTGCCTTTAACACAACTGCTTAAATTACATTTTCCCTACCTTGCACAAGAAACCGTTAATAATACATTTTCTATATTCTATTATAACATTTGGATTGAGTCTCAGTCTGCCATTTATTTTACAGAAGCCCATGCATTTTGTGCTGCGACATAAAACTGCCTACTGCAGGATTACTGTAGACAGAGAGGATTATCTAGGTCAGACATGTTGCAGTGTGCTGGCTCTTTAAAAAGACACATTCAGATCATCCACTGGGGTTATATGTAACACAATTTGTGCTGTATTTGATTTTATGGTATATTTTTAAGCATATATGATATTAGGGATGGCTTAGTTTTATATAACACACAAACACAATATGGTGTATTATGTCACTGACGTAATTATTTTTTTAGAAAAGAGGACACTGCATTTATGTAACATACATTTACATACACGTTGTGTTAAATGGCTGGAGATCATGTTCAGAAATTGATAAGGGAGCCAATGGAAGGCAAGTGGACAAGGCTAGTGGTGAAGACTAAGATGATTTACAGGAGTTGTGTAGGATAAGGATCAGGCTCTTCCATATGAATGTAATTTATCATTTAAGTACGAACTTAACGAACTGACGACATCTCACACTATTTCTATTCGCAATTATGTATGATCACAGTAAGCTGCGGAATACTGCATGGCAACAAGCACGGTTGCAGTAATTTGGAAAGAAACAGATCTGAAAAAACGACCTAGTTTAATTTCCACATATGTTAGACTTAAACAGTAACAAATAAGCAAGTCAAATGTTAGAAATTAAGGTCTCGCTTACCATGATTGCTTGTCGGTATTATGCAATGTAATGAAACAAGCCAAAGGAGTGTCTGCGACTGAGGTGCTCGGTGTCTGAGGCTGCTGTGATGACGATCTTCGCTCTGCCTCTTCAGGAGGACAGGTGAAGTGCACAAACTGAAAATCCTTCTCCGTCTGGCGCAGTAATTGTTTCCCATTCAGAACCTCCAATGTGCGATAAGAGGCTTTCGGGAGCTAATTCCTCCTCCGCTAAGGCGTGAGTCGGTAGGATTATGCAGGACAATATAATACAGGACTGTGCAAAAAGAGAGCAGAATCTCATAAAATCTGGTAGGAGGCAAGACCCTCGGATGTCCTTTTTCTAATAAATAAATAAATAAATAAAAAGGGGTATTCGCTTTGCTTGTGTAAATCAATGCAATTAGCCAGAAACCTGTTATATTGAGTAAAGCCACGGCATCACAATGGAAGCTATATTGTTTGGAGATCCGAGAGAATAAAAAAAAAAAAAAAGGCTTAATTCAGGAAAATGACAAATACTTCAGCCGTTGAACTCCACTTATGTGGTCGTGTACATTGAACAAATGGCTTGGCTGACGTGTCCAGGAGCAAAAGTAACTTTGAAATTACAAATTTGGCTTCCTGTTAAATTTCAATCTTATCACAGTGTAATATTGCATTTTTCCCTATATATTTTCTTCTACATTCTACTTTAATGAAGTCATTAGCAAAAATCATAGAACTCGCATTCTGTCGATCGAGAGTATTATAACTACTTTATATGTATTCTTCATAGTTTTGTTTATCAATCATTCATTACGCTGGTCCTCTTCCTGATAGACGGTCACAGCTGGTTTCTCCCTCGATTACTCATTTGCAGACTCGTGCTGCCTTCAGGGCTCCGAATCACGCTGTGACTTATATGACCTATAAGAAAAGTAATGAATTAATCAGTCGCCTAACAAAGATGTGCATTACTTAACCTGCATAATAAGAATCAATTTGTGCATCCAATATCACAGTGTGTACAGTGCAAATTAATAAGTTAAATAAATACTGTTCAACTATACTTTTTCATTACGCTGCTCGACGCAAAAGAAAATATTACGAGCATACAATAAAGCACTAAAGTAGCAGAAGTCATTTAAAGGCCTGCTGACACAACTTAACTTTACGCTCAAGTTAGCAGGCATGTCGTCGCTTCGGAGAAACTTGCATTTAAGTCGTACCATTACCGCTGCAGCAGCGGACTTTTTCGCCTTGCAGCCACGACAGACTTTGGCTCTTTGCAGCGACAGACGAGGCCTTTGCATAAATCCGAACAGACAATGCTCAGGGAAACGCTACAATGTACCACCGAGCGCCGAGTTTGTTGCCAGGGTGGCCGGGATCCCCACCATGGCCAAATTACCTTACCAGGACACCGCAGAAGGGCTTGATGCAGCGTTTGTTGGCGTCCCAATTGATACCGGGACCTCGAACCGACCTGGCGCAAGGTAGTGTTTTTCTCTGCAGCTAATATTTAAACGTATGGGCCTGCTGCTCCGTAGACTGTCATTGGATGCATGCATAACAAAGCTGCTGTTTTCAGGCGTTTAAAGATAGATTTAAGTTTCACTTTTGTAATTAAAGTGACTAAATTAATCTTATCCTCATGTTGTGCAAAACTTCACAGACCATCTTGTACACAATTGACACATATATAGGCAACAGAAATCCTCAGCTGCAGGGAATGTACAAAAGCTGAAACGTCCAAATTCATTTTGACCACCCAATACCTTACTGTGTACAGTAAACACTATTTTCATGCCATCAAGGTTAACAATTGTCACAATAAAAAAATAATAATAATGCAAAATCCAAGCAGCAGCCATTGTGCTTGAACAATCATAGCTGTCATCCTGGTTCACAGGTTTGGCCCACGACAGATCAGAGTTGAGTCGGCCATGCTGAGGGCTTACAACAGTGGCACCAGGGCAGCACCTTATGAGTCCCTCGTGGTTGCTGATATTGGGGATGTGAACGTTAATGTGTATGACCTGAAAGACACTTGCAAACGCATCAGGGAGGCCTACAGAAAGATCCTGGCCACTGGCTGCATCCCGCTAACTATGGGTGAGAAGAAAACTGATCTCTAGAGGTGAAGAAAACGCTCTAAAAGTGCCCTTGCTCACATTTTATTCAGACAGTTGCACAGATAGTCAAGGATAGCTCAGTAAATATTTAACAAAGCACAGTGTTGTAATACATGTTCAATTATTAGCCATTTAGATAGCTCTATAAACCAAAGAGAAGATTTGATCAAAGGTTGGATTTTAAGGAAGTTTTGTCTGCAGGTGGCGATCACACTATTGCTTACCCAATCCTGCAAGCCGTTGCTGAGAAGTAAGTGTGCTTTATTCCTAGGAACTATATGTGATGCAAATTATTTGAAGTTGAGACTGCTGATACAGTGCTACTTTTTTACACACTTTAGGATACAATAAACATTGTTTTGATCTGTGTTGAACTGTCTTAACACGGCTATTAAGCATTTTTCCCTCAAACTTCCAGAACTGTACAGCCTACAAATCCAAAAATGCATGATTCAGGTGTCGCTTGAGTTATGCATTCTTGTATTCACTGACTTTACAATCTGAGAATGCAATAAAATGAAAGAATACTGTTTTGTGTGAATTGGGTTTACTGAGAATGCAGGAAGAGTCCTCAGTTAATATATATAGCTGCCACTGATAAACTTCCTCTTTAACCATTTTATACCCCATGCCCTTGTTCCTGTGATAATTTGTTAGGCATGGCCCAGTGGGTTTGATCCATGTGGATGCTCATGCTGACACCAGTGATGTGGTATTGGGGGAGAAAATAGGCCACGGGACTCCATTCAGACGATGTGTGGAGGAAGGATTACTGGACTGCAAGAGAGTGGTCCAGATTGGCCTTCGGGGTTCAGGCTATTCTGCCGACTCATATGAATGGAGTCGGGCACAGGTACTCTGCTAGGTTACTGTTTCATGTGTGTAAAGCATGCTTATGTAGCATATATTTTTTGGCGTTGGATAAATAAACCTTTACTTGCTTGTTCCCCATAGGGAAATGCCTCAGATAAATTCAACATAATGGTTTTGGCATTTTGTCTGGAGAGTAAATGCTGTATAACTGGATTAATATAAAGTTGCAAGAATCTATGCTAATAATTGGTATATTTTATATCTTTATTGTGCTTGTTTTTTGACAACAAGATGCAAATGCTTTCATCTAGAACAAGGACATTTTATGGCGCTGACTCGGAGATGCCATATGTCTCAAAATAATTTTCTCATAACAAGGCTACTATGTGTTTTTTCTACTCCTCTAGGGCTTCCGTGTTGTGCAAGTGGAAGAGTGTTGGTTCAAATCTCTTGCGCCTTTAATGGATGAGGTCAGGAATCAGATGGGCAAAGGTCCAGTATACCTTAGTTTTGACATTGATGCTCTTGACCCTGGCTTTGCTCCTGGAACAGGCACACCTGAGATAGCAGGGCTCACTCCCATACAGGTAATCAAAGTGCTAAAGACACCTCAAAGTTTACTATACTAGTTACTAGCTATATATATAAACAAAACTACATACACCAAGCAAGGAAATGTTGTATTTTCTGCTGCATTATTAATTCATTTTTTCAATCAATCGTCACGATTGGATTTAGGGAGTTGAGATTATTCGGGGATGCCGTGGTCTGAACCTTGTTGGATGTGATCTAGTGGAGGTGTCACCACCCTACGACACCACAGGTGCTTTTTTTAACATTTAAATTCTTTTGAAATTCCAATTTTCTTTCTAATGTATTTTTTCCCTCTTGTCCTCTTATTCATTTCATTTTTTCTTTCATTCTGTCAACAGGAAACACTGCATTGACTGGGGCCAACCTCCTCTTTGAAATGTTATGTGTTCTCCCAAAAATTAAGTACTATTGATAAATACTGAGAGCATAGAAGAGAATAAAATGTGTAGTTTTGGAAAAACTCGGACAATCAAATTTTGGTACAGTCATGCTTTGCACTCTTGAATGACACTAAAATATCTGAGGGTAATTACTGTCTTATAAATTGCGAACAAAATGATGAGTATGCCGCAGTGGACACAAGTTTTGATTCTGTAAGTATTGGCTTCATTAGGAAATCCTGCACTCATTCAACAGTGCAGTGCTGCAGATGAGTTTTAAGACCATGACAACTTAAGTGTAGTCCTGTTTGGGTGTACAGAAATGTGAAATTCAGTATTCACCAATGTGCATTTAAGGCAAGAAAGACAAACCGATCAGTGATTTAAACTAACTGCTGCTTTTAGTAAATACGTAAGGAAATATTATTTTTGAAGTGTCTTTATTTACCTTGACTGCTGAAAACAAGTTTCTTCCTTCTGATATCACAATCCAGTCATAGTGCCTGGCACTCTTGCATTGTTTATGCTGTTGTACAAACTCAGTATATACTGCGCAGGAGCATTTCATTTCTTAAAAGGCTTTTATTTCAACCTTTCAGAAAAATGTTACATGTCTATGGTTTCAAAATTCACGATATGAAAACTGGTTACTAATTCATGTTTTTTCTAATGCTTGAAATGTGTGTTCTCCAGGTGTTAACACAAATATCATCCTGGCACACTTTGGGCCCTGTAGTGCCAACTGAGCATTGTTTAAATGGCCCAGCATACCTGACTATTGTTGCTGTCCATCATTTTATCACCAGTGTGCACATCTTCTGATGACTGCTGCAAGAAGGATGGCTCTAAATGCCACAAAACTCAAATCATCCTAATCTAGTTCCTTGAACAGAACGCGACCTTCACGAAGTCTATTGTAACTATTGCAAATGACCACTTTAAAAATGTCAAAGTCTGGCTTAGATGCAAAATATGAAGGAAGGAGGGATGACTCAAGGCTTGCACAGTACTGTATTTTATTAGCATTATATAACAGCAGCTATTATAAGAGAGAATTGTACTTTTTCTGAAATGTAGGCCTTGGACACCTTTATATAACTAAAAAAAAAATACAATATTTTTTTTTCAACCAACCTTCTTTTTCCTCTTCTTTTACCCGTCTTCATTTCCTATCTTTTCCCTTTCTTGAAGGGCAGCATAGTGTCACAGGGATTAATACGGCTGTCTCATCAGTCTCCCGGGTGTTTCTGTGTGTAGTTGTCTCCCCCATGCTTGCATGGGTTTATAATTTTCTCCAACCTCTCTGGATGGGTTGTGATTATGGGTTATTCTTCAAGCACTGCTAACTTTAATCTTAGTCTGGCAACACATTATTGGCCATATTTTCTTGACAAAAATGATAGAACAGACACAGTGCC